AAAATAAAAATAAATAAATAAATAAAAATAGGGAGAGAATATCTCTATTAATACCTAATAACGAGTTGTTCCAATTCACAAAAGAAATTTGATAAAGTTTTTTATTGTTTTCACTTCTTTGGTTGTTTTTGAAGTAAGTGTCTTTCCTTCCCAGGATGAGGACATTGACAGAAACTGGGGCGCAGCTGAATGGTGGGGCAGGAGGGTGAGCTCTTGTGCACTTAAGACTTTGTATAAACCTGGAAATGCTGTTTTGGGATCAACTATCATTTTTGCCTCAGAGATTAAAAGAAATCATTGGCCTAGTATCTTGATCTTGTTTCTTTTCATAATGAATGTGAGATGCCTGAAATTTTATTTTCTTTAATTGTAATTGGTTTTTAAAATATAGGAAGCACAGAGAAATGTTCTAACAGGTTTAAAAAATTCCTGGAGAAGTTCTGTTTTCTTCCTCCGCTCGGCCTCTCAACCCATCTAGATCTACGCTGAAGCAACTGCTTCCCAGCATTGAGTGCAGTTTTTCAGAGAACGGCGTCATATGGGGGAGCCCATGTTTCTCTCTCTACTCCCCAGACCAGTGTAATTTTCAGCTAAGGGCCCCATACTCAGCCTCCCAAAGGGAACTTGATCGTTTCCAATGTGTTACTATTATAAAAAATTCTATAGTGAATTCTGTATATAATATGCATAATTTCCCAGTCATACGAAGTATATTTTTCAGATTTTTGCTGAGTCAGTGGAATCTTTTGGCTCTAATTTTTCTCTGCAGAGGTCACTCTAACTTGAGTGCCTATGTAGTTGCACACCAGGGACTGCAGAGTACCCTCCATATTAAACTTCTTTTATTGTTGTCAGTTGATATGTAAAGCTGTTACTGGAGCATACTTTCTTTCTTTTTTTATTTTTTGGTACCAGGAATCAAACTCAGGACCTTGCACTTGCCAGGCAGGCACTGTGCTGCTGCTGAGTTATCTCACCGGCGCTGGAGTATAATTTCATTTGCATATTTTCTTATGAATGATGTTGAAAATCTTTTAATATGTGTAAATTTCAAAAGAAACTTTTATTTCCTTCTCTACATACTAGCCCCAATCTTTTGGGTATAAATTCTTTCTCTCATTCTTCTCTTCTCTTCCTTCTCTTCTCTTCTCTTCTCTTCTCTTCTCTTCTCTTCTCTTCTCTTCTCTTCTCTTCTCTTCTCTTCTTTCTCTTCTCTTCTCTTCTCTTTTTCTTTTCTTCTCTTCTCTTCTTTTCTTTTTTCTCTTCTCTTCTCTTCTCTTCTCTTCTCTTCTCTTCTCTTCT